GAATTTGACCGAGTAGATTGGGTTTTTATGATTGATTCACTGAGAACATCAGGAATAGGGCCTAAAATGATGCAGTGGATAAAATAACTACATAGGAGTCCCACAGCTGCAGTGAAGGTAAACGGCTCATTATCCAAATTCTTTAAGATGCACAAAGAAACTAGACAGGGATGTCCCTTATCCCCGTTGTTTGTGATCTCTCTGAAACCACTATTAGCTACTGTTATAAATAGTATGGTTGTCAAGGGAATGTGGATAGGGGATACTGAACATAAAGTGGCAACATATGCAGATGATATGCTGTTTTATATAGCAAACCCCAGATTAACATGACCAAACTTAATGAGAAAATTGAAAGAATATGGAGAGCTATCTAATCTGAAGATTAACCCCTCAAAAAGCGAGATCTTAAATATAAAATGTTCCAAAGACAGAGAAACAAATGCTACAAAAAGAATTCTCATTTAAATGGAAAGAAAAAGAACTAAAGTATTTGGGAATAAAACTAACATCGCCTATAAAAAATTTATATCAAGCAAACTATATCCCGTTAATAAATGAGATAAAGGATGAACTGTGGAAAGCCTGTATGTGAAAGCTGTCCTGGACAGGACGGATAAATATAATTAAGATGATAGTGGTACCAAAAGTTTTATATAAATTTAATATGCTACTAATATCTCTTCCAGGGATTTTTTTTCAGGTTTCTTAAAAAATGGTACTCAGATATGTGTGGAATAATAAAAAACCAAGAGTTAAATATGACGTTTTATGCAATAATAAAAAAAAGGTGGATTAAATATGCCAGATATTAAGAGATTATTAATTCGGTGTTATTGTCATGAATTTCAGATTGGATAAATAACACACAGGGGAGAAGTTGGGCAAAAATGGAAAGTTCCCTCAGTAAGGCACCACTAGATAAGTATATATGGATACCACAGGAAGTTCGCACATGGGATGCAGATACTAGTACTCTGACACAAAACAGAATTAGGATATGGGATGAAATGCACAAACAGAAGGATTGGAAGTTTAATTCACTGTCAATCCCATTGGTGGGAACAAAATTTTTTGCGCCCGGGAATGACAAAATTTCAGGGAAATGAATAATTTATAGAAAATGCACGTTTAAAAGATATTGTGGATAAAGTGGTTTATGTTCTTTATAAGAGTTGAAGCGTAAGAAGGGAATATTTTCTACACTGGATGAGTGGCAGTGTGGTCAAATAAGACATTTTGTTGCAAAGCTCCCACAACCACTAAGAACAGAGGAAGAAAAGTATCATATGGAACAACTGTTGAGTATAAACAGAACACAAAAAACATATCACCTATAAGATATATAGAACCCTTACTAAAATAGAGGGATTGTTGGTACCCTTAAAGTTTTTGGAGAAGTGGGAAATTGAGCTTGATACAAAAGTAAATGAACAGCAAAAAAGTAAAATTGCTAACACATGGGGCGGTGAATATGAATATATTTGACATAAATTATAAATGCTTGGTAAAATGGGATATTGCACCTAATGTAAAGGGGATGCGCGAGTAAGGGCACAATGGCACATATTTGGTGGGAGTGCTCCAAAATACAGGAATTTTGGGGAGAGAGATACAAGAGAGTGCAATACATACAAGAGATTCAGAAAATAAGTGTGCCGTTGGACCCAGGGGTTTGCCTATTTTGTAAATCGGAGCTTTCGCCGAAGCAATATAAAAATATGATATTGCTCCATCTCCTTAAATGCGGCCAAAAGCCTTGTTTCTAAATATTGTCAAACAGCAGAACCCCCAAAAATAAAAGACTGTATGAGTATATACATAGGATGGAAGAATTTTACCATATTGATGAGGACAAAATGGAAAACTTTAAGAAGGCCTGGGAAGGATAGTCCATTTTCAAAAAAACTAAAAGATTTTTTGAAGTAATTAAAGTATAGGGGAAATAAATGTACAGGAAAATAAATAAAAACCTGGAAAAGATAGAAAAGAAAGAGGCAAAGACAAGCTGGGGTAGTGACAAGATAAATTAACAAAACGAAAAAGTAAATGGAAGAACTTGGACGATGAGACGAGGGTGGAGGGAAGGGGGGGGGGGGGGCAAGCGCGGGGGGGATAGGAGAAGAAACTAAGTAAAGATCATTTGTACTGTGCCGGCACAGTGCCTGTGTGTCCGAATTACTGAACTCCTGTGCCTGCATTCCTGAAAGTACTTCTGCGCTAGCCAGTAAATGACGGTCAAAGACAGACACCTGGAAGATACCAGAGAGATTTGCAGGCACCAGTGAGGGACCTCACAGCTGTTGGACCATTGAAGTAGAGTAAGTATTGCTTTAGAGTAAGTTCTTCTTTAAAACTGTAATGGCCTGCTACTTTTTAGCACTTTTTTCCCCCTTGAATAGAATTCAGCAATGATTCCTAGGAGTCAAAATCTTTTCAAGGTTAGCCCAATTATCATAGATTGCCCACTTTGCTTGCTCATGAATAGGAATGTCTTTTTAACTTTGCAGGTCTCTTAGTACCCTAAGGGGAATGTCAAAACCCAGGAGAATTGAGACAATAACAAGGATTTTGCACACTGAACAAGTGAACATTGGCAAGCATAATGTGTGAAGCCATAACATCAGGTGTATGAGAGGATTGAGTGAAAAATCTTCTGAAACATCCTCTAACAATGCTTCTGGGTCCTCTATTCCTCTCAATGTCTTTGTCTAGAGGAGGCACAGTCCACTTTCCAAATTCTTGAAATGTTGGCACTGTGGAGAAAGGAAATCTGGCGTTTTTGTGGACGTTGGGCAGAGATTGTTGTTATATTAAAGATTTTAGTTGTCCAAGAAAGTCTCAGATAATTGCATAAAAATCTGCCTTGCTCATATTGGCTGCTTAGTTGTGGCCTGACTAGACAGAACACAAACAAAGGTTGTTAACATGAACATTTGCTTGAGCTTTTGTATCTGTTCCATTTGCAGGTTTCTGCCATTGCTATTGTTGAGGTTATTCCCCTGTTATTGAGTACATATAGGTGAGTGCGGAAATGAGCTAGCATAAGCTTGAAACACGGGTATTGTTCATTCTGTAGCAAAGTCCTCACGGCAAAAGGGCAGTAATATGAATTGCCTGAATAGATTATAAAAGACTTGGGCAGGTTTGTGTTAAAAATGTCGACCTGTTGTTTTCATTCAACACCCACTTTTCCACCTGAAACTACACTCTGAATGGGGAATTTTATGGCCAAGTGTATAGCAAAACTATTCTTAATGCAATACCTTTCGTGAAAATACATGTTTCCTGGATAAATATCAAGGGTCAGTACAACAATTTCGGCCATGACCTGTCCTTAGTCACCCTTACTAAAATCAGGGTCCAGGTTAGCCCGTCATGTTTTTGGAGAAGTGGGGTCTTCAGAGTCTGGATTCCATAGTATGGAACAGCATGGCCCTGGACCTGTTATCACATTCTGTGGGGACAATGTTGAACTAAGTGCCAAGGTGAGCGCCCAAGCAGGATCCAATGCCAGAAGCAAAACTAAAGGCCATTCCCACCACGTATAGCTCACAAGGTTTAACCAAAGTTGCATTGATCTGGATGCATCATAATAATAACAAAATGCTTGGTAATGGGAAATTTGCACCTAATGTAAAGGGGAAATGCGCGAGTAATAAAACAAAGTGCAGTCAAATTTTGGGGAGAGAAACATATGCAATACATACAAAGATTCAGAAAATAAGTATGCCGTTGGACCCAGGGGTTTGCCTATTTTGTAAATTCCTTAGCTTTCGCCTTGAAGCAATTAAAAATATGTTATTGCTCCATCTCCCTTAAATGCGGCACAAAAGCCTTGTTTCTAAAAAATATTGTCAAACAGCAGAAGATATACAAAAATAAAAGACTGTATGAGTATATACATAGGATGGAAGAATTTTTACCATCATTGATGAGGACAAAACGGAAAACTTTAAGAAGGCCTGGGAAGGATAGTATATATTTTCAAAAATAACTAAAAGATTTTTATAAGTAATTATATTTTTTTTTTTTTATTTTTTCTCTTCAAAATAAATTTGAACATCAGATCACTGCTGCCAAACATGGAAAAAATTCAAACTGTAGGAAAAGTGTCATCTTAACAGTAGTTCTGGAAATAGTAGAAAAGAAAGAGCATGAAAAAAAGCTTATAATGATAAGTAAATTAAATCAAAACGAAAAAGTAAATGGAAAAACTTGGACGATGAGACGAGGGTGCTCGTACAGGGGGGGGGGCAAGCGGGGGGATAGGACAAGAAACTCAGTAAAGATTTTTCCCAGTACTGTGCCGGCATAGTGGCTTTAGTTCCGAATGCTACTGAGTTGTTATCCACCACACTCCCCAATCCAATCCACCCTGTAACGTCACCATGAAAAAGAAACAGATGCCTCCAATGACAGAGTAACCCAAATAAAATATGTTATTAAAGTTAAATGCTACACACAAAATTAAAATCATGAATGTGCTCATCTTTGTTAACACATGGGTAAGCATGAGGTGTAGTGATACTATTAATGTCGTGTCGTCTCACCACCTCCGGTATACCTGGATCTCGTTGCCACATCACTTCCGGTTCTGACTGCCACTGACGCGTTTCATCACTTTGGACCTGACCATTGTCGGAAGTAATGAAACGTGTTGGGACGTGGCTGCGTGGCGACCGGAGGGGACATCAGGACTAGAAGTGACGTGGCAACGTGATCTGTGTATACCGGAGGTGGTGAGACAACATGGCATAAATAGTGTTTTGGTGGAAGAGAAATACTTTTGGGAAGAAATGCTGCACCTCTTTTCACATATTATTTATTGTGGACTATCATTAGAAGGACTTTTTTCATACACTTTGATATTATTACTATATCACAGCACTACTGTGATGTTGACACTTTGCACTTTATTAGTTTGAATGTTCTGTTCTTTTACTTCAGATGTACAATTAAGACAGAGAGAAAAAAAATCAGCCAAAATATATACAAACCTTTCCTGCCCACATCTCCACCAGCTTGTATCTTTGGTTGCCCAGCAGTATTTGCTGTGAATGAATGGTCAGGACTTTCACTGTCTTCATTATCATCTTCAGCACTTGAAAAAGATTTTTCCTAAAAGAACAGGATGCAGCCCAAAATAAATATCTCAAAAGAGCAATTTTGAGAAATAGGTGAAAGCACTCAGTGAGCTACCAATGCTACTAGTAAACAAGGGAATGGAAAGTCAGACACTTCACTCGATTTACCTTTTTCTGGTTCTGTGTAATCCCTTGCAGAATAAGCACACATAGCTCCATAGAGGGTCAGTTGGAGTGTACTTTCTGAAATCTGTGATGTGAAACCCTCTCTAACAAATCACAATCAAATGTTCAAGTCAGATTTGAATTTAGCAGCTACTAGAGATCTCAGTGTTGTCATTTTTGTCTATACTGTATTATGTTCTCTCTGAATAAGAGCCAAAAAAGGAGTGTTCCAAAATCACCTGCAGATGTGTTCAGGGATCTCTAGAAAATGGACATGAGGGAGTGGGAGAAGTGCTATAGTACAGGAATGCCTGAATGAAAAACTTACCTACTCAACAAGTAGGCTGTACTCTGCATCTCAAAAGTTTATTTTGGAGTGCATTTTCTATTACACTCTAGCCAACAAGCACCTGTTCATTCAATGATAAGTATAAAGAAGGCAAAATAAACCTGTGTGTGCCTGTGGGGAAAAAGGCAACCCACAAATGTTTAAAGTGGAAGAAAAGGCTGTTAGAAGTCTGATTAAAACATTTGTCTTTAGAGGAGATCAGTGTAAATACCACCTTTTTTTAAATCAGCTTTGGTGACGTGTGATTTGGAAGCTGTGGCTTCTTTGCGTCAGTGAGTGCTCATCACCCGGACTGAAATTCAAGTCATGGCATCACCCGCTGGCTTCCCTTTCAACTGCAGCAGCCATTCACTGATAACGTCTTGACTATATACAGTGGGTAAAATAAGTATTGAACACGTCACCATTTTTCTCAGTAAATCCAATTATAAAGGTGCTATTGACATGAAATTTTCACCGCATAGTCGGTAACAACCCATGCAATCCATACATACAAAGAAACCAAAACAAACAAGTTCAGAAATTAAGTTATGTGTAATAAAATGGAATGACACAGGGAAAAAGTATTGAACACGCTAACTAAAATTTATTTAATACTTTGTTCAAAATCCTTTGTTGGCAATGACAGCTTCAAGACGTCTCCTGTACGGGGAAACCAGTCACATGCATTGCTCAGGTGTGATTTTGGCCCATTCTTCCACACAAACAGTATTCAAGTCTTGATGGTCCCATGGGCCTCTTCTATGAACTCTGGTCTTTAGTTTTTTCCATAGATTTTCCATTGTATTCAAGTCAGGTGATTAGCTGGTGCATTCTAGCAGCTTTAGTTTCTCTTTCTTTGAACCCAGTTGAGAGTTTCCTTGGCTTTGTGTTTGGGATCATTGTCTTGCTGAAATGTCCACCCTCCTTTCATCTTTACCATCCTGGTAAATGGATTTTTATCAAGAATGTTTGGTAACATTTTTCCATTCAACCTTCCTTCAATCAAATGAAGTTTGCCAGTACCGTATGCTGAAAAATAGCCCCACGCCATGTTGTTCCCACCTCCAAACTTCACTGTTGGTATGGTGTTTTTGGGTGATGTGCAGTGCCATTTGACCTCCAAAAATGGTGTGTATTATGGCATCCAAATAGTTAAATTTTGGTCTCATGTGACCAGACTATATTCTCCCAGTATTTCACAACCTTGTCTAAATTTTGTGCAGCAAACTTTAAACGAGCTGCAACATGCTTTTTCGTTAGCATTGTAGTCTTGCATGGTGAGCGTGCATACAGGCCATGGCAGTTGAGTGCAGTACCTATTGTTTTCTTTGAAACAATTGTACCTGATAATTTGAGGTCTTTCTGAAGTTCTCCACAAGTGGTCCTTGGCTCCAGGACAACTCTGATAATTTTTTTCACTCAGAAATCTTATGAGGATCTTATGAGGAGCACCTGATCGAGGCCAGTTTATGGTGAAATTATATTCTTTCCACGTCTGGATTATGGCCCCAGCAGTGCTCACTGGAACATTCAGAAGTTTAGAAATCCGTCTGTAACCAATGCCATCAGTATGTTTTGCAACAATAAGGTTGCAAAAGGTCTTAGGAGAGCTCTTTGCTTATCAGTTGAGACAGAACCAGCTATTAATTTGCACTGACAAGGGGCAGGATTGCTTTCTAATTACTGATAGATTTCAGCTGGTGTCTTTGCTTTCCATGCCTTTTTGCACCTCCATTTCTTCATGTGTTCAATACATTTTCCCTGTGTCATTCCATTTTATTACACATAACTTAATTTTATAAACCTATTTATTTTGTTTTCTTTGTATGTATGGATTGTATGGGTTGTTACTGACATGTGGTGAAAATTTCATGTCAATAGCACCAAAAATGGTGACATGTTCAATACTTATTTTACCCGCTGTAATCTCTACTTCCACTTTAATGCTTTATCCGGATGCTGCAAGACTTCAATTCTTTTTCCTTTAACAACGAGCATCAACCAACTGTATCATGTAGGTTTGCACACCTCTATTTATTCAACCAGTTTTTAAAAATAGGGAATAATACACTTGGAAGAGAAAAAATTCTCATCCCTGCATCAAAAATAGGCCCACCCATATTGTTTGCACATGTAGAACTACATAGTTAGAGACACTCTAACTTCATTTCTACACTTGTCTTGTAGGTGAACAGATTCCTGAGGATAGCCTGAAGGCAACACCCAACAAATTTTTGAAAAGGAAAAAAATGTTCAGTGCCAGGAGGCCAAGATTCAGCATAACTGAAAATGTAGCATACTGGCTGAACCAGAGCACAAGATAAATCCTCAAATAGCTGCTGTGTGAAAGCTAATCCATGGTCAAAGACCTCAGGCCTTCAGCCATAATATCCATTCTATATTACGAAAAACTTGATGTTACAATACAGTTATGGGTACAATGACTACCATCACATTACTGGCCATACTAAATAGCCGGTGACTATGCATGGTGCCCCTCAAGTACATGGTATACCATTGAAACATGCTGGGTGGGATAAGGAACATTGGCACTAGGCTGTTGATAAATGGAAAAACATCATGGGCAGCACAGTGGCCAAATGCTTAGAACTTCCACCTGGCAGTACTAGGGTCGTTGGTTCGAATCTCAACCATGGCACCACCTGCCTGGAGTTTACATGTTCTCCCTGTGCGGGTTTCCTCCAGGTACTCCGGTTTCCTGCCACACTCCAAAGACATGCTGGTAGGTTAATTGTAATCTCTCTAAATTGTCCCTAGTATGTGTATGTATGAATGCAAGTTAGGGACTTTAGATTGTACGCCCCTTGAGGGTTAGGGACTGATGTGAAAGCACAGTATATATATGTAAAGAGCTCCGTAAATTGACGGCGCTATATAAGTACCTGTAATAATAATAATCATCTGGTTTAATTAATGCAATATACATGAAGATCTGATGTCTAGGTGATGGATACTACAGGACCCTTGTGGAGTCACTGCTAGAAACAAAAAGCAAAAAAGGATGATGTAATAATAATATAAATAAACTAATATCGAATTATAGTTTTCATTTTTATACTATTATTTTAAAATACAATGTCCAAATGTGCAAAATACCTATATCTATGGGAGGAAGACAAAAAAATAAAAAAAACAAAAAAAATCCACAAAAAAAACACAACACATAAATGAACAAAAGGGTATTTCACAAAACAGGCACATGAAAAGCAAAAAAAAAAAAAAAAAAGGAGGAGGGGTTTGCACCTTCTAGTATCTAAAACACAAAATAAAAAAAAAAAAAATCACAAAACCTCTCAACTTTAAGCACACAGGGCTGTTACTCACATGATCTCGGCATTCACTAGAATGAGTCCTTTGCAAGCATGTTGCATCACTCCCTTTTAAATCTGAATCTATCTCTGCATTTAATTTTAGTTGCTGACAACTCTGAAATCCTTGACATTCCTTTATTACGGCCATGTCCTTCTTATCACTTGGATCATTCTTCTTATTGTGCCCTCCTATTTTACTGGTATCTTCAATGTCTTGGTCTATTAGAAAGCTAGCTTTTATGAAAGTTTTTAATGAGCCTGCTTCAAGTTCAGTAGAAGTTCGGTTTTCTTCAGGATTTTCAGGTAGCCCATATATTAGAGATACAGGTACATCATTACAATCTGGGATGTCTTCAGCATTTTGTTCAACTTGTGAGATATCCGGACATCCCTCACGAGAGGCATCCACACTTTCTTTGCTGTCTGATCCAGTAATTTCATTGCTTTGTCTATGATCACCTTCACCAGGATGTAGACATCCTACAACTTCACTTCCATGGTTATATTCACCATCATCTAAACTATCAACATGGCCTTCTGTTTTTATTTCAGCACACGGTTCATGATCTTCCTCATCGTCACAACTATCCTCATCCTGATCATCCTCTTTGCATTGTTCTTCCTCCTCATCCTCATCATCCTCTTCACATTGCTCTTCCTCATCAGCTAAATCTTCAGACTCTTCCTGATCCTCCTCACTCTGGTCATTTTCACTTTCACATTCTTCTTCCTCTTCCCCATCATGTAAAGCTTCAGATTCTTCATCATCTTCCTCACACTGGTCATTACCCTCTTCACATTCGTCATTTTCTTCCTCTATCTTATCGTTCTCTTGATCAACAGTTTTCTTTTTATTAGCAGGGGCTAGTGATTTAGTCTCATCTTGAAATGTCAACAATCCATTATGAAGCCAAATAAAGCAGGAGAAAATAAAACAAATTAATGAAACAAATAATTCTGAACATTCACCAAACATTTACCTTAATAATGCTGTGGAGGGAAGCAGAAGCCAGCTGGGGAGGTTTTGTAATAGAGCCAGGTGAGAAAATCAAAGGTTGAGGAAAGGAAAGGATTTCAGGAACAGGCTTAGGAGGGGATGGAATGTTTGCATCTTCATCTTCACTATCATGAAAAGAGTCTTCTTCACTATCTGATTTACTCTGTAGGGCAAAGCTTTCATTAACTATAGCAAAAAAAACAAGCATAAGTCAGTTAAGAATTCTGTGGATCCAAATAACTTAATGGCTTACTAAAAGATTTTTTTCACTAACCTTTTTTTTTGGAGCTCAGTAGTTGTGTTAAATTAGGCTTGGACGCTTTCTATAAAAGAACCACATACATAACATTACTTTAAAGATACGTTCACCGATTTACATTATAGGAGAGAAATTAAAGGATAGGTTCACCTTTTCTAACATGTTACACTCGTATTCAGGATGTAACATGTTAGCACTGCAGCTGCCCCAGCACCCATGAGTCCCTGCTGTGACAACAGCCCGGAGATCTTTTCCTCCTGTCTGCTGTCACAATTCAAAAAAAGACACGGCCATAAGGGGCTCTGCCAACCTAGCCATGTCATTCATTCATTCACAGAATTCTGTGAATTAAAAACTACAAGTCCCGACAGCCTTTGCGGTTGTCAGCTTGTAGTTCTCAATGAACCACCAAGGTGCTGTTGATCTCTGTGGTAGTTCATTCTCTCTTCCTGCCTGTGCATATCTGCCTGCGTGTAAGAGATATGAGCACACAGATATAGAGACAGGACTGCAGGAGTGCATGGCACCCTGATTTACTGATCGTGGGTGCAATGCTTTTTACGCTCCTAGTAAAAAAACTAATAAAGGCACATTTTTTTTACCTGCAAAAAGATGTGTATTTATCATTATATTTCTTTTTTTACAAAGGTGAACTTATCCTTTAACCACTTGTCCTCCAGATGATTTAACCCCCCCCCTTCATGACCAGGACATTTTTTTCTGTTCGGCACTGCACTATTTCAACTGGTAGTTGCTCGGTCGTGCAATGCTGTACCCAAACAAAATGTATGTCCTTTTTTCACACAAATAGAGCTTTCTTTTGGTGGTATTTGATCACCTATACAGTTTTTACTTTTTGCGCTAAAAAGCCAAAATAGACTGAAAATTTTGAACCCCCCCCTGATATTTTTCACAATTGGTTATAAAAAATATCCAATAAACTCAAAGTTAGTCATAAATTTAGGCCAAAATGTATTCTGCTACATGTCTTTGGTAAAAAAATTCTCAATACGTGTAAATTAATTGGTTTGTGTGAAAGTTACTGTCTACAAACTATGGTATAGATATTGGAATTTACGTAGCTTTTACTTTCTGACTGTCTATTACATTTCTTGAGGTGCTAAAATGCCAGGGCTGTACAACCCCCCTACCCCATATGTTCCCTTTTTGGAAAGCAGACACACCAAGGATTTTGCAGAGAGGCATCTTGAGTCCATGGAACATTTTATTTTTTGCCACAAATTTTTTGAAAATGACAATTTTTAAAAATTTTTTATTTATTTATTTTTACACAAAGTTGTCTCTTTAATGATATATTGATCATCCATGTCATGGGTATATGTGGAATAACACCCCAAAACACATTCTTCTACTTCTTCTGAGTATGGGGAAAACCACATGTGAGAGACTTTTTGGCAGCCTAGCTACATACAGGCCCCCAAAATGCAAAGGCCACCTCCAGGCTTTCAAAGGGCATATTTTCTCATATCACTTCCCCACTACCAATCACAGTTTCAGAGGTCCTAAAATGCCAGGATAGTACAACCACCCCCCCCCCCCCCAATGACCCCTTTTTGGAAAGTAGTCACCCCAAGGAATTTGATAAGAGGCATAATGAGTATTTTACAGATATCATTTTTGTCACAGGGTTTTGAAAAAGAAAAGAAAAAATACAATTTTTGTTTTTCATTCTTCATTTTCCAAAAACATGTGGCAATAAATGAGGTCTGAAAAATACATTAGAACATCATTAGAAGCTTATGTCACACATCACTCACTCTTGAAGACCAAGCCTCTTCTGACACTTTTTTGTTCACATGAAAAAACTGTTTTTTTTGCTAGTAAATTAATTTGAACCCCCAAACATTATATATTTTTTTGGAAACAGAGGCCCTAAAGAATAAAACGGTGGGTGTTGAAATTGTTTACGTCACACAATATTTGCGCACTGATTTCTCAAACACAAGTATTTTGGAAAAAATACACTTTTTAGAATTTCAATGCACAAAACACAATATATTGCCAAATTGTTTGATAAAATATAAATGATGATGTTACGCCGAGTAAATAGATACCAAACATGACATGCTTTAAAACTGTGCATGCCCGTGCAATGGCAACAAAATACATACATTTTTATTATCGATAGGTGATGCTTTAAAAGCCTTTACAGGTCACCAATTTATATTTACACAGGAGGTCTAGTGCTAGAATTACTGCTCTCGATCTGACGTTCGTGAAGATACCTCACATGCATTGTGCAACCGCTGTTTACATACCGGAATGGGGTCAACGCTTGCACACGCAGGTGCACGCGCGTAGGAGGGCAAGGATGCTTTTTCTTTTTAGTTATTTTGATTTTTTTTAAATTATTTTTACACTGTCCCTTTTTTTTTAATCACTTTTTTGCTATCACATGGAATGTAAATATCCCCTCTGACTGCAATAGGCATTGACAGGTATTTTGTTTGAGAAATCTGGGGTCTATTAGACTCTAGATATCTCCTCTGTTCTTACATCATCTAATCTCAACAAGATCGGTGTGATCAGATGCCTTCCCAAATGGCGCTGTTTATATCCTGCGAAACTGATGTGATGAAATGCTCGTAGCTTCCAATTTCTTAGACTATAGAGATGAATGGATCCATTATGGTCTCTGATCAGCTCTATGGTCAGCCAGTGGATCTGCGGGCTGCATTCTCTGATTCCCCGATGGAACAGGAGAGCTCAAGAAAACTGTGGAAGGCGGAAGGAGGGGGGATGTCCCTTCTCGCTGCTCATAAAAACAATTCAGCAGCTAACTGGTCACTAGGATTTATTTTACATGAAAGTCGATCACCAGCTGAAAAAAACGATATCAGGATGATGCCTGTAGCTGCAGGCATCATCCCCATTATAATCACTCAAAGTTCAGCGACATACCAGTACATTGCTGGTCCATGTTGGGCATATATGTAATAGCAGAGAACATGGGCATATAATGAATCAGGTCTGTGGATTAATATGACCACAATTCATTCTTTTTTGTAATGCTGAGGGTTAGGCCCAAAACAGTTTTAAATTCAGCAGCCATGATAGGGTTCCATGCGAATTGTCTGGCAAGAGCTGAATTTGGGTGGGCAGTGAGGTATTGTCATAACAGCTTTGCTTACATTGTGATCATGTGACCGCATAGCGATCACATGATCACCGGGTCCCATTCACTGGGATCTTCATTCCGCTGTGTCTGCCAGACACAGCAGTTGCGGTGGGGGCACGCTGCGCCCCCTGTGTTACTACAGCTAGCGCGACATACAGGTATGTCGCTTTGCCTGTAGCTGCGGGAAGCAGTTAAAGGAGCACAATATTTTTCCACCAGTTTATATGCAATATAATCTGACAGAGCTTGAGCGATTTTTGCAAAAAATAGCCAAAAATGTCACTCTCTAGATGTGCAAAGCTGGTAGAGACATAACTAAAAAGTCTTGCAGCTGTAATTGCAGTGAAAGGTGTTTCTACAAAGTATTGACTCAGGGGGGCTGAATAAAAAATACACGCCACACTTTTCAGATATTTGTGAAAAATGTTGAAAAACATTTATCGTTTTCCTTCCACTTCACAATTATGTGCCACTTTGTGTTGGTCTATCATATAAAATCCCAATAAAATAAATTTACATTTTTGGTTCTAACATGACAAATTGTGGAATATTTCAAGGAGTATAAATACTTTTACAAGGCACTGTACTTATGTTCTGCATTGTACCTTTTATTAAGCTATTAAACAGAGGCACTGTTGTGTAACCAAATGCAGTAAGCTATCTGCTGCACTAAGCACCTCAATTGTCATTCTCATGCTCGGTACTAAACGATACCACAATTTGTTTTGCCCATACCATTTGTTAAGTAGGAACAAATCCCTTATACGTCGATAATATCTACTGCTACCTTCACCAATTTTTCTAAAAAGATGCAAGCAAAGACATCATGTAATTTCTCTCTGCATTCACTCTGTCACAAATTTATAACAGCATTGGAGGTGAAGGCAATGCTTTTGAAACCTATTTGCTGCTTGTTAAAGGATATGTACACTAGGGTGTAACATGTTCCCCCTCCTGCAGCTCTCTTCCCCCTGCCTTCCCATGACAGCAGGCCGGGGATCTTCTCCTCACACCTGTAGACACTATTGAAAAGAGCATGGCTGTGTCATTCATTCTGTGAGTTCTGTGAATGAAAGCCTACAAGCGCCACCGGTCTTTGCGGCTGACGTCTTGTAATCTCAAAAGCTTCCTGAATGGAGGTAACTGCCTATTTGTATCGGATGTATGGTCAGACAGCTACCCTGACAGTCTGCAAGAGTCTGACATTGCACCAACTATCAAAGATGCAGCGATGCAATAATTTGCAAGCTCCTAAGAATAAAAAAAACAAAAACAAAAAAAAAAACAAAAACTAGGAGCACAGATGAGAGCCATAATGTAGACAGAAAGTGCCTATACTTGTGGAGCCTGCATCTATGTTGTTGCAGCCTGCTCCCTATTTGGACAACGTATTCTAGTAAGGAGTGGGAGAAGCCCTATAAAAAGGGGCTGTCTCACACCGATTCCTGCTGTACCAGACCAATTTAGAGCAGAGGATAGACCTGCAAGCACCACCTGGCTTGACAAAAGTTGATTTAAAATTCAAATGAGACGTACAGAAAATGAAATCCTATCACATGCAGTCAGTCACTGTTCGACAGTACCCACAGCTGCCAACATGAGAAATTCCTCCATCTACACTGTTAGCATGGATGGGGAAATCCATTGATTTTCAATCCAAGTATGTAAACTTTAGTAAAGCCTTTTCTGGGCAGTGTTAGGTAAGGACAGGACTCAGCTGATACAGGGAAAAAAGGGATTCTTGAATAAGGACAAACTCCCTAAATAAGGCAAATGTGACAGAGTGACTTGGAAAGAGTTCCACAGTGGCTACACCAAACACCTTTTGTTTAAATCATCACTAGAAGTATACTTGCCAAAGAAAACCCACAAAACCCCTGGTTTGTTTTCTACTGCAGCTGTCTGGACCATATTTTTTTGTCAAAAGCAATTTGGAGTAACAGATAGCAGTAAAATCAGTAATGTTTATGCTAACTGTCCTATAAGTTAGTGCAAAAGACAGCCATTACCTTTGGACTGAAATCCAAGTCATCTTCATCAGAGGAAGGCCAGGAGTCTGCTTTTCCAGAAACACTGTAATGAGAATGCATGTACTAATAAACATTCAGAAAACAGTGAAAGAAAAATGTTGTTGTAGATCGCTTTGCATGAAAAATGTTAAACAGTATATTTATTAAAGAAACAATTGCAGACCTGAAATCATTTAATAGGCATTCCGACAGGAAAAGGATTTCTAATTTCACTCAAATGCTGTGTTTCTGGATATGCCAATTTAACATAACGGTTTGCTACTGAACATATTGCAACACTGGAATATGGTTTTATACAGACTATATAGAGTTCACTGTATAAAAGGTTGCAATAGAGCACAGCTGTATCCAAGCCTTCTACTGTACCACAGTGGTTCTCAACTGCCAGGCCACAACCAACCTCCTGACGGGCTGTGGGTTTCTTCCAGGCAAAAGGACAGCCACAACATCAGCACAGCATCTGTTACATTGTTAGCAGGCCTTGGCCCAGGCCATAGGTAGCATGTGTGGCTGTGTAGGAGGGGAGGTCACTAATGGATTGTGAGGCAGAGGATGAAGAGTGGGCAGGGTGTTAATAGAAAGCATGTATCTGAGGCAATTGAGGGGTGTGCGCTGTTAGTGAGGAGCGGGTGGCTGGGAATATGGCAACTTGTCTGATGTGCGTTTATTACCCTGCACTAGCTATCCATAAAAGAGCAAAATATAATTTCATCCCTCTGTGACTGGCATAAGAGGAGAGGGAGGAAGGTACTGCTGTAGAGTGCCCTATGGGATGGCCCAGATTCCAGTACAAACACATTTGCAGTGAGTTTCTAGCTGTGTTTAAAGAAAATTGCTGAGCTTCATATAATACATGTTGACATGCTAAGCCCTCCTCCTATATCATGTAAACCAGCCATCAGAAGAGTCTGCTGGTTGTTAGGTCCAATGGGCAGGAACTCCCAGCTCAAGACAATATTGAAGAAAGACAGTTGCTGGCTCTCTGAATGTGTAAGGGCTGTTTCACAACAGATGCAGTCCAGTGCATTTTTAATCTACATCAAAAATGTATGCACATGTATTACAATGGCCATAGTTCACACCAGTGCTGTATTCCAGTGCAGTCAAAAAAAGAATATAGTGCATTTTTTCTGTATAGAACCCATCTGGAACGTGGCAAAATGCATGGAAAATACCAGAAAAGCACATGTCCTGAATTGATGATCATGAGCAGCTTGCTATGGGGGCACTCAGCAAGGGAGAGAAGTTGAGAGCTCTAGCTGGAGACCCCAAAAGTGTAGGATCAGGGCTACTCTGTGTAAAATCTTTGACAAAAGTTGATTGTGCTATTTTGCTAAATACTTTAGTCACTTGGCATTTAATGTCCGTGTACTGAAAAATATTTGTGCAGTGAAATCAGAGTAATAAGACTGTTAAGTTTCATAGATGAGTACCAAAATCAACAACACCAATACCATAGAAAACAAAACTCTAAAAGCAAATTGCAACTTAAAATTACATTTATATATTTGCAGATGAAAAAAAAAATGAGAAAAATCTTACTGGGATTCAGAGTCACCTTGAGAAAAGTCATCAGTTCCTATAGAGAGAAAACATTATCATTTTGAATGTGAAATATATTAATATCAACTAATAGGTACAGCTGCTACAAAAGAAGCAAACGGGTAGGAAAAGAGGGGAAAAAAAAGTCTAAAATAGATTTCTGTTGACAAAGTTTCATGTAAACTAAAATCTGGACAAATCAGCTATAATCAATGCAAACTGAACAAACATAGGTACCTTTGGTAAACTGAAACAAGAATCTTGTGTAAAATAATCACATAAGGATAATGCCTAAAGCTAGGCATAACTAAGTTGATTTTTTTATTGTCTGTTATGTACGTCTAAGCAGCTTTTTTTCATCCAAATAGTACTGCATGGTTGGATTATTGTCCAGCAGCCTTTAAAACTGGATATGCCTGATGATATATATATATTTATTAGAATTAATCTAAATGCCATTATTTTAGATCACATGTCAGAGATAACTGTTTGAAAAAAAAGGAGATAAATGATTTTAGCATTTGTTGATTTTAAATTGGGGTCTCAACTAATATTTACAATCTACCTTGTTATACAAAGTATAACATAATACAATATAAATATATGGCAAAACACAGGACTGTGCTGAAACATGTACATAGGATCCCTCTGCACTGTTCAGGCCTAGTTAGGAGTATCTGAAATTCATAATCAGAAACTGTGCTCTAGAAAAAAAGGAAGGCTATGCATCTTCCATTGATGATCACTATAGGTCTGTACCAAATATTTTTACATTTACAAAGCATCAATAAAGTCTTACCTGATTTAATGTTTGTGTCTCCTGCATCTAAGTATTGCTAACCTTTATTGAATTATTAACTAATTGTATACAGGCATAAAGCCGTGTTAATGGCTAACGTATATTCACTACGTAATACCTTTCTCTGAATCTCTTTTTCTTGACTTTTGCTTTGAAGTCACTTGCAACTCTACATCCATACATGAAAAGGCATGGAAAGAACAGAAACAAAATGGTAATCATACCCTGGATATTAGAAGGCTAAACTGACAAGCCATTATAATTAATGGTAAGTACACAAAATAAATTATGACACAGTGTTTGAACAACAAATGAACACCTGTTATGTGTTTTTTTAAACCAAAAAGTGTAAGTACTGATATGAAAGTGTCCCCTAAACTCCTGTATCATCATTGTAATTGGACTTCTTAGGCTACATTTGCATTGGCGACTAGCAAATGATAGAGGCTGGAATTTGCCAATTTCTGCAGCTGTTTCTGCCACCTGCAGACGCCGAGGCTTTTACATATCAATGACCGGTTGGCAGTTGCTGCAGCTATCCATGGATGTCAGCCCAGCCAGCGATTACCTGCAGTGATTGCTGCTGGATGCAGGAAGCAAAGTCCTTTATGCAAAGTCCATCAGTAGGATCATCTTGTCCTAGCAGTAGCAAACCTGGAGATTGGCACTTTGCCTAGTCCACCTGGTTCCACTCCCCTACACTCTCTCTAGTACCTGCCAAATGCCAGACAGAGGGGGATAAAAGCCAAGGAGAGTGCATAAGCATCTTCAAGGCACCCCAGAAGCAGCACCTGCAACAGGATGAACCCCTGGCCTACTATAATGGAATTACAAACCTCAACAGTCATTATTCTTGCCCAGACAGGGACATACCCCTTTCCAAATAAGCTCCATACTTTCACAGCATCATGGCTGGTGCACAAATCTCCACCACATAAATAAGCAGAAAGTACAACAGACATAGAGGCAGGAAAGACAAATCGTACTTAAAGTGTTACTAAACCCAGGACCCTGCATTCACTATATCTGGTCTCCCACAATACACACAGCATGGAAATGCAATTATTTTAGTAAAATTGCTAAATACCTTTTCTCATCAGCAGTTAGAGTAGTCTTGTGACTTCTATCAGTGTTCAGCAGAGCACTGGTTACAGCTTGTATGAGGAGTTTTCTTTCTGCTCTAGGAGGATGCAAAACCCCTGACCCTCTGTCTGGACAGTGCTGATTGGCCCTGTGCTGATCACATGCACTCTTCCAAGAAAAAAAAAAAAACCTCTAGCAATACACACTAAACTGAGCATGTGACTACAGGTTCAGTATCTCTTATCAGGTGGACATTTGAACAAGAGGAGGGGCAGAGAAAAGAGGACCAAACAGCCTTTTTACACAATGTGGAGGATTAACCCCTTAGGTTCCACAGTGGGTATAACAAGCACACTTTACTGTATATACAAACTGATTTTATTGTTCTGGGTTTAGTAACATTTTTACTCAAGAATATTGATCTGTTAGCACTAGTCTCTTTTTACTCTATGCTTGAACTGTTTTGCTGAATAAACCAGGTTTCTCTTCTAATCAGTATTTGTAAAATATTAGCTTTGATTTATAACAGAAACCAAAAGATCTGATACCATCCTTTTAAAAGTTTATACTATTTATTGAATTAATTTTTATAATTATTTATACATTTTCATAGAATTAAAGATCCAGGTTTACCTTCTTTATCTATAGCTGGACTGCCCAATGTAAATGTACCTTCCACAACTTGATTAGGACTGTTAAATACTGATGTGCCTTTTTTACCACCACCATAAAGAGATGAGCGCTTATTCTTTGAACCATGTTCAATAATTAAATGTGAACAACTGAAAAAAAATGAAAGTTAAAATGTTAGCAAACTGCATGAAAAGTCTGCCTTTAAATATTGATCCATTTAAATATCATAGTGAACATTCACTCTTATTTTTGGTCATGGGTAATGGTCAAATAAGTTAGTGCTTTGAGAAAGAAGTTAGCAATAGCAGCCCAAATATTTCTCACACGATAAGTTTATATAATTAAAAAGTATTTAGATATGTCAGTCAATTGATTTTATTTGAAGAGGCCTAATGACCTATATTAAAGGCCCTTCATCATCGCTGAGTGGCTTTCGTTCTGACTAATAGAATGCCACCTAAATTCATAATCTTCAAAGCGGTTGTAAACTCTCATATATATATATATATATATATATATATATATATATATATATTCAGCGAAGTGACTAATCTCAGGTGATACACAGAGATGAAACAAATCCTCCTGCATAAGTTGTACCTGTTTATCTACAGTAGTCTGTTCCCTACATCCAAAGTGCAGAGTTTACACAGGATCTCTCAGCTCTGAAAAGCAGGGGGCAGAGAGCTGAAGTTACATCAGCAAGGAAAGCTCTGATAGCTGATTGGAGGGAAAGGACGCACCCCCTCTTCACACAGCACACAGGGACAGAGCTGGGGCTGTCAATCACAGACTGTGCCCTCCCCGTCACCTTTTTTTTCTGTTGGTGTCAGGAAAACTTGCCAGACGTGACTTATGCCTATAGCAGATGAATGATGCAGCAGACATAAATGACACTTAGGGGTTTATTTACTAAAGCTGGAGAGTCCAAAATCAGACTCCCTTCTGCATAGAAACCAATCAGCTTCTAACCTCAGCTTGTTCAATGAAGCTTTGGCAATGAAACCTGGAAGCTGATTGGTTTCTATGCAGAAGGGAGTCTGATTTTGCACTCTCCAGCTTTAGTAAATAAACCCCTTAGTGCTCTAGATTGAGACAAGCACACGCTATAGAATTATATACTTTGTTAATATTTCTTGTCTGAGGTTTACAACCACTTTAAAATAAATCTATAAAACCCAGGCAGTCCAAAAGCAGGAGCTTAAAAAACAAAACAAACAAAACAAAAGAAACGCAGTGTACTTTTAGTAAAAAAAAAAAAAGAACTCTGCAAGATAATAAAAAACTCCACAGATATATACAAATAAAAAAAAAAAATATATGCAGTTACCAACTTGAGGCTGGCACTACCCTTACTGGTCAGTAAGACCAATAGGAATGCTCAGAGGTTAAATAGGCATGGTCAAGTTCAACATTTCCAGAAAGATCCAATATTTGCATATAATATATGATGTTTTGACATTCAGTAAAGTGTAACTTCTGCTTATGCATGGTTTCATCATATGCCTATTTGAATTGCACAGGTCTGTGACAAATTTATTTTAAAGGGGTTTGTCTACTAACTCGATAAGCTTTTTTTTGAGCTTATGTTGATCAAAGGATAAACAGATTGAGGTTTTTTTTTTTGTTGCTATAATTTCAGTATTTTAGAGTGAAAACTCCTTTAAAAAGGAGACATTTAATTCTGTGTACACTATTCCTTCTTTACATAGCACAATGATTTACTTTTACATACTTTATGTACAGCAACGCTTGCCTAATTCACTTAAACATCTTACACACTGGCCTGTTTAGTGGCCAGTATACTTTGCTGGAAAACTAGACTGGCTTTCCACAGAAGATTCTGCACCTTGATTATGAGAGAGGGGCACTTTGTTCCAGTCTACTTTGCTGGAAAACTGCACTGGTATTCCACAGAAGGGTCTGCAACTTGATTATGACAGAGGGGCACTTTCTATCAGTACACTTTGCCGGAAAACTGCACTGGTATTCCACAGAAGGGTCTGCACCTTGATTATGACAGAGGGGCACTTTCTACCAGTATACTTTGTTGGAAAACTGCACTGGTATTCCACAGAAGGGTCTGCACCTTGATTATGACAGAGGGGCACTTTCTACCAGTATACTTTGTTGGAAAACTGCACTGGTATTCCACAGAAGGGTCTGCACCTTGATTATGACAGAGGGGCACTTTCTACCAGTATACTTTGTTGGAAAACTGCACTGGTATTCCACAGAAGGGTCTGCACCTTGATTATGGCAGAGGGGCACTTTGTACCAGTATACGTTGCCGGAAAACTGCACTGGTATTTCACAGAAGGAGCTACACCTTGATTATGACAGAGGGGCACATTGTACCAGTATACTTTGCTGGAAAACTGCACTGATATTCCTCAGAAGGGTATGCAGCTTGATTATGACAGAGGGACAATTTGTACCAGTATACTTTGCCGGAAAACTGCACTGGTATTCCACAGAAGGGTCTGCAACTTGATTATGACAAAGGGGCACTTTGTACCAGTCTTCTAAACAAAAATTGGCCTGGCAAAACCCCACCTCATCCACATTCTCATCATTTTTTGTATGAAGCCTCTTTGGTGAAGTACCACTGAAAATAGGTCAGGCTGTGAGAAGCATTTACGCAATTGCAGGTAATTATAGATAGCCTGAATACTGCAGTACATGAATATGTACAGTAGAAGGACAGAAATACGCTCATTCTTTACGTAGTGCAACACAACTAGTAACATCTTTTTATTATGCTGCAAATACTGTAGATGAGCACACATGAATCTGACTTACTAGGCATCACAATTCAATGTTTCAAAGACAGAACTGCTCTTGTTGCTTGTAACAATTAAATATACACTTTCATATTTTGTGTGCCTCATTGATGAATGAAAGGTAGCCTACAAGAGAAGCATCTCCTTCAAGTTCAGTAACGAAAGTCAATATTTGGAGTGTTTAATACAGAGATAAATCATATAAAATGAAGAAAAATGACCATTTTAAACTTACGCATGATGGCCATTCATAACTGCATGATCATCAGCAGTCCATCCAGTCTCGTCTTTTACAAAGATATCAGCGGTATTTTGTAGTAAGTACTTCACCAAACTGATCTGACCGCTGCCTGCAGCAACCATTAAAGATGTTCTGTAATACAAGAGGTAAGAATTTATCACCGGTTACTGTGTCAAACGCCACCCTTTATCCTTCCCACCCCTACCCCATTTAGACTCCCTTGCTGTTAATCATGGGGTAAAAAGAAACCTCCAAAGTATCACATTATTATAATATTACTAAATTAAAAAATGTGTGTATGAAATACTATAATAATGACATAAAATAAACGAAAAGGTGTTAAAATGACTTCCTCATGCAATGTCTATGAATTTAATGGGCAATCTCCCTCACAACCAGCAGTGGGTTGAGG